ACCTCACACAGAGATACATGTTATACACCTCACATACTCGCGACCACACACATAGATACATGCTATACACCTGACGACCTTGTTCATAGATATATGTTACACATCTCACATACTCAAGACATCTCCCATATAGATACATGTTATACACCTCACATACGCACGACCTCACACATAGATACATGTTATAAACCTCACATACTCACGACCTCACACAAAGATACATGTTATACACCTCACATACTGACGACCTCACACATAGATACATGTTATACTCCTCACATACTCACGACCTCACACAAAATACTATACATCTCACATACTCACGACCTAACACATACATACATGCCATTCACCTCACATACTCACGTCCTCACACATAGATACATGTTATACACCTCGCATACTCACGACCTCACACATAGATACAGAAACATGTTACACATCTCACATACTCATGATCTCACACATAGAAACATGTAACACATCTCACATACTCACGACCTCACATATAGATACATGCTATACACCCCACATACTCACGACCTCACACATAGATACATGCAATACACCTCACATACTCACGACCTCACGCATAGATACATGTTATACACCTCACATACGCACGACCTCACACATAGATACATGTTATACTCCTCACATACTCACGACCTCACACAAAGATACATGTTATACACCTCACATACTCGCGACCACACACATAGATACATGCTATACACCTGACGACCTTGTTCATAGATATATGTGACACATCTCACATACTCAAGACATCTCCCATATAGATACATGTTATACACCTCACATATTCACGACCTCACACAAAGATACATGCTATACGACTCACATACTCACGACCTCACACATAGCTACATGTTATACACCTCACATCCTCACGACCTCACACATAGATACATGCTATACACCTCCCATACTCACGACCTCACACATACATACATGCTATACACCTAACATACTCACGACCTCACACATAGATACATGCTATACACCTGACGACCTTGTTCATAGATATATGTTACACATCTCACATACTCAAGACATCTCACATATTGTATTCTATATTTAATACTTCTTTTAAAACTTTCCATATATATATTCTTTCTACAGAATTAAATATTATGTGATATCAAAACTGGACAAAATCTTTTTTAGCATGCTATACATGTCCAATACACAATTTCACATAATCATAATGATTTGATTATTGATGTTAACGTTAGACACCAATACATTTTCTGTTTTCATATTATACCAAACACTTTATAATATGATGAATATTTCAAAGTTATGTGCAGCAGTAATAACTCATAAATATGTATTCTGCAAAAATAATCTTTCTTCTGGAGAACTATATAAATGTACTTCAGGTTGAGATTATATTATAGACAAAGATATGCAGATATATAAAAGCAATACAATGATCTTAATAAGAAAACTAATATACACTTGATTATTATTTTATTTTGTCTTTTGCCCTCTCATTAAACAAAATATTAAGGGAGTATTCAATTATTTTATATCTTTAACTCTAAACAAATAGGGCAAGGAAAGATATCCCTGTCTGATCCCAATTCAATTTTTTTTATTTTATAACATTTGATTCTTGTGACCTTGAACGAAGGTCAAGGTCACTAACGTTTACAAAACTTATATCCATTCATATGACCGTTGTTTTTGAAAAAAACATAAGTTAAAGGAAAAGTCGAAAGAAAGCTACGTTTTTCTTTTTTTAAATCAGAGATGTTATACGACAAATTAACCGGTTGTCAATTTTTTTCAGAATTCCTGGTGTTGAAAGATTGGTAACCAACTAATGAAGATAAAAGTATGAAAAGTAGACTCGGTTTAGAACTATGTAGATTTAACTGGTCCAAAATTGGAATTCTCTCATTAGTAATGAAATTCACATATTTTTCTGCTTAAATCTTCAATAAAAAGAAGAAATCTTTCTTGAAATAGTGTAATATTCGGTATCAAAATAACAGTTGGAATATATTGCACACGACGATGATATCTTTTTATAGTAACTGTGTCATTTAAATGCTCTGGTGGGAATTGAATTACCGCACCTTTAACACCCACACAGGTGAAAGTCAATGAAGTCCCATTTGTCATAGAACGAATTCTGAAAGTCAATGGTCCTGATTTGTTATTTTGTTTTAAACGTATTTTATTGTAATTTATATACAATGGGAGTTGGGCACAAGTTTAACAACTTATATTAAGCCCTTTCCCTACAATATATTTCTACAAATGATCAAGATGGCAACATATACATTTACATTGGCTTTAATTGAGAGAGAGAGATTCGGATTAGTTGGTAAACGTGAAGGAGTGCAGGAAAATATACTCAAAATCTGTTAGTATCTAGAATAAATTGGTGCGTCTGTTTGGCTATTAGGATGTTTTCTTGATTTGACAATTCACTATTACCGTATAGTAGTAGCTGCAAGTTAAGTGGAATGAAATCATTTAATTCGCGGTAGAGTTAAATTCTCTGATCCGCATAATTATATCTTCGATAGGATGTCCACATTGACAGTGCTGAAAATCTATTAAGTTAGCATGAAATAAGGGATTGTTTAAGGTACTAGAGTTATTTCTCAATTTGGTGTGTAAAATATTACTTTTTCGATCACCAAGGAGATAATATATAGGGACTTCTGATGTATTAAGCATGCGAAGAGTATCTTTAAAAGCTGTATATGAAACTTTGTGTCCTATATTAAGGTCAAACTGGTTCCAGAGTCGGATTGTGGAGGGGAAAAAAGACAAATTTGTTAATTGAAGTCGTGAATTAGGTATATAGTAATTTTCAGCATTACGGAGGTTATAGTGTGTGTTTCCTGAAATTGTAGGGGGAAATAAAGAGGTAAAATAGTTAGGTGTAAGATTCTTATGGAGTTTGTAAAACAGTTGAAATTTCCGCCGAGTTCTACGTCAGATAACGTTTCTAGACCAGTTTCAAAATACAAAATACAAAATACTTGAGTAAGACGGTAACCCAGTGATAATCCTTACAGCCTCAAGCTGAAGTTTTTCTAATTTGTCTGCGTCACCGAGAGTGCACCCATCCCATACCTCACAACAGTATTCCAATAGAGGAAGAATGGACGATCTATAAATTTTACTTAAAGTTCTTCGACTACAAATTAAATTTCAATTTACGTACAAATATTTTTCAATATGGGTACTCCACTTACAATTTTCATCTAAAATTACTCAAAGGTGCCAATGATTGTCAACAAAATCAACATTAAAGTTATTGAATTTTAAATCGATAAAATACTCAAGTTCAAAGTTAGAGATCAGTAAAGCTTTCGTTTTTGCAGGGTTGAATTAAACCAGCCAAATTTCAGCCCAATTTTGATTTTTTTACAAATCATTATTTATCTTAGTTTCGATAATCTGGGAGATGCATCAGAATATAATAAAGACGTATCGTCAGCAAATAATTTAGACAAGCTTTCAAGATTATCAGATATATCATTAATATATAAAATTATTAAAGCTTCCTATACCCAAACCTTCTTATATTTATCTTGTTCTGAAATTCCAAGCAGGGACCGACGTTAATGTTAAATCTCCATAGGCGTTGACCCTACCTTTTTCAGTCTATTTCTCAAATATGTTGTCGTTTTAAACACAGATTTAGGGTCTTCCTTCAGAACTAAGAGCGTTATTTCCAACATTGTTTGTAACATGTCTTAGCACACTTGATCAACTGATCAGGGTCAATTTAAGAGCAAAATTTGTTTACCATATTCATCATATCTACTATGTTTCCTCGAGGCAATTTTTCACTTACTGAATTTTAAGATAAACGACCCAAATATCATAAAACGTAGGATTGAGATTACACCCCCACATACATTTGTACCTTACTTGATGTTATCATGACCTTGTTATGTTAACGAGGTACACACCTATTTTATGGTAATGGGGTACACGTCAGCGACGGACGCGACAATTCCGCCTGACTCTCGAATATCTATATCGCAGAATCTACATTGGCACTACCGGTACCCGCGTATCGGCAGGCAGCGACCCATATATATATATGTTTCGATTCTCCATCGTGATCATGCACATACAATTGTATAGCAAATTTCTTAATGGATAACTTCCCAAATACTCGATGGAAAGATATATATTTCTATTAACACTGATGTATAATTAAGCAAGATTTACGTCAACAAATATAAAAAAAGAAGTTATGCTGTTTCTGTTCAGTTATATTACGCTTGATACAGAATACACATATACGGACCGTGGGATGGGGATCTCTACATGCTGAGCCCCCTAGATTGATCACGCTATAATCTTGACACTCTGACCATCTTTATGTTTCCACAGAAATGTTAACCTCCTATAAATGAAACATCGTTGTGCGTTTCAAATGTCCCATTGTTCACACATTTTTAAATGAAATAATGCCCGCGGAGGGGGCGGATTGGATTCTTAAAAGATTAATTTTATAACTTACGTTGGATGGAAAATTGATAAAATAAAAGCCATACCGAGTTTCCGATTTCCCAGGAATATTAGCATACCTTTTTGGGCTTTTATAGGGTTAAGTTAAAATGGGATCTGGGTAGATGAAATCTGCATGTTATCATAATTTTATTGTTACAACATTTTTTGAATACTTTCAAGGTTGGTTCTCCAGGTTTAGTAGCCTTACACAAATTGGTCTCGTGCCAGAAGGCTCTCATTCATTTATTCATTTATTGATGTTTTGTTGTAATTTCCATTGATGTTTTTTAGATATTATATATATATAATTATATGTTTTGTGCAATGGCATTCACTGTAATTTTATATCATGCTTTTTCTCAATATATGTCAAATGTATGTGGAGAGGGTCTTACCCAATCCATTTGCTTCATTTAGGTAGTAACATTTCCTCACATCAATACCAAATTAGTGAGAAATTTTAAAACTTTGTTTTGTTCTTCTCCTAGAAATCACACCATGGCATCAATGCAGCTGCTGTTGCTTACATCACTGTGTATGACGTCACTATTGGGCGTGGTCCAGACGGTCAAAATACAGTCCTTTAATGTCGGCCTCACAAACTTTATATCCCACTATACAGAACGATTACCACGCGTCATCCGGGCACTGGAATCCGGGGATTATGACGTCATGTGTCTTCAAGAGGTGTGTATTAACGATACGAAAGTGTTGATTTCCCGAGAGAGTTATTTTGTTAGTGTGTTGTCTGGGGAGATATAGAACCTAAACGTTGTCTGGGGAGATATAGAACCTAAGTGTTGTCTGGGGAGATATAGAACCTAAGCCGTGAGGCCAATATTTGTATCTCCTTTTGATTTTGACATGGGCAAAAAGCCAAATTCTCAATTCAGTAATTTACAAATTGTTACGAATAAAATGGATGTTTTTTCTCCACTTTCCTTTATAACACAAGTCTCGCAATACTTCAACAACGATTATATTGTCCCTATCGTCTTTCCTTAACATTTTGCCTCTACAAAGGGAGCAAATTTGAAGTTGTGAAGCTGCTTGTGGAAAAGCGAAATAATTAGGGGATAAACCTGTTGTTATTTCATTTGTGCGGTGGTGTGTTGCGATTATACTGTCACAAATTGCGTTTTACTTGAGACGCGGAGCAAATATCAAACTATAGTAGTATTACCCTCAAATTTGAAGTTGCAAAGCTGGTTGTTGAAAAGTAAAATATTGTCAGGAAAGGTACTCTGAAACGAACGCAATCCAAGAAAATAAAGCAGCAAATATATTTTGACTGTTTTTGGGTCCCTCTGGAAAGCATAAAAGAAAATCCAATGCTATGCAATGCTAAGGGCCGAATGGTGACTCCGTATTCAATAAAACATCAATGCAATTATCTATACCATTTTATTTCCAGGTATGGTACGGAGATGATGTTGATAAGATAAAGAATAAATTAGAAAGAGATGTTTTTACCTATACACCGCCTTTGAACCAGGAAACGACGGCTTGGGGCTGGTTAAATGCTCCTCCATGCCCCAGTTTCGCAGCCCTAACGACTGCAGTGTGTATATTTAAACATTGTAAAACCTTTGCGAGCGATTATGCAGCGCTCGTTAACTGTACCGTAGAATGTGGAATCATGTCGCTAAGTCAGACCTGTATTTCTTGCCTCGTCATTTCCGGTATGGATAACGTCTATCGCTGTTTTAACCCTCTGACGCGGGAGGCGATGAATGTCCCGGGAGTGATGCTCCTGAGTAAGAAGAAGCTGAACTCAGTCACCTTCAAATCAGTCTACTTTGAACCGAACGTGACACAGATTTTCCCAAGAGCATATATTGAGGCAGAAGTGAGTTTTGTTTTTTCTTTGGTTTCTTTTATAATTTCTTTTTTAATCGTTAATCATTTGTTTAATCATTTTTAGTTTTCATAAACCAATTAACAGCATTCCATTTACGTGAGGAATTATATACTCTCAAATACAGCTCCTACAGCGAAAGTTTTAATACACGCAGAAAATTTGATATTCTCCGGCATTACACAAAATCTACATCTCCTAAAACAACAGGGGATACCGAAGTGTCAACCATAACCATATTTCGATCTCAAAATCGATAAAACTATTGCAAAATATGAACCAAGGAAGAATTTATGTTGAAATCCTTGGAAATGAACAAAAAAATTAAGACCAGGTGTTCAGGAAGAGTGGGCGTCTTTTGCATCATTGACATCCATCAATTTAATTAAGGTTAAATCTAAGTTCATTTAATGTCTCGTCATCATAACGAAAACCTGAGAAAGTGACAATAAAACCACATGGCATGCTAACGATCACTTTTTAACAAAATCGTCCTTCGTATCGAAAATTAGATCATGGCGACGACCATACAACTTGTCATTCGTCTGCAACAACCTGCTTATTCGGAAAGTTTCGGAGAGGTTCTGAATCAAATACAAACGAGGCAGGTCAAACACCTTCTCTTTTAAACACCCTCACTAATATCGGCATAACATTCGCATTGTTTGTTGTTGGTGTCCCATTCAAAATTCGAATTTCGCACACATAAAATGCTCGAATCTGGTAAAGTTGTGTGTTTTAAAGTCTAATTTCACACGTTGGTATTTACCTGTTGGTTACTGTTCACACGTTTGTACTTACCTGTTGGTTACTGTTCACACTTTTGTACTTACCTGTTGGTCACTGTTCACACGTTTGTACTTACCTGTTGGTCACTGTTCACACATTTGTACTTAGCAGTTGGTTACTGTTCACACGTTTGTACTTACCTGTTTGTTACTGTTCACACGTTTGTACTTACCTGTTGGTCACTGTTAACACGTTTGTACTTACCTGTTGGTCACTGTTCACACGTTTGTACTTACCTGTTGGTCACTGTTCGCACGTTTGTACTTAGCAGTTGGTCACTGTTCACACGTTTGTACTTACTTGTTGGTTTTGATTTTTTATCATACCAAAACATTTTGTTATATTACGCATGTTTTAAAGTTATGTGCAGCAGTAATAATGAATATGTATTCTGCCCAAGTAATCTTTCCTCTGGAGAACTACTTAAGTTGACGGGTTATACTGGAATCAGCTTGTCCGTCCGTTCGTCCGTCCGTAGAAAAAGTTTGTCCGTAAAACTCCTTCTAAAGTGATGGACAACTTTCAACGAAGCTTTTCAGATATGATAACTTCCACCTGAAGTTGTGCATCAAAGTATTATTATTTCATTCTGACCATTTTTTTTCCACAAAGTTTTGGTCCTTTTTTGAAAAATCCCTGTCCAGACATGTCCTCCAAAACTCAGGGGTCAATTTCAACGAAGCTTTTCAGATATGATAACTATCACCTGACGTTGTGCATCCAAGTAGTATGTTTTCATTTCGACCCTTTAAAAAAGGAATATGCCTCTTTGTTGAAAACCCCCCACAAAGAACAACATTTGTCTGCTTCATCAACTTCATTGTAAGTGTACTGATGTCGTTAATACCCCCTGATGTCGTTAATACCCCCTGGTGTCATTAATACCCCCTGGTGTCGTTAATACCCCCTGATGTCGTTAAACCCCCTGATGTCGTTAATACTCCCTGATATCGTTAATACCCCTTGTTGTCGTTAATACCCCCTGATGTCGTTAATACCCCCTGATGTCGTTAATACCCCTTGATGTCATTAATACCCCCTGATATCGTTAATACCCCCTGATATCCTTAATTACCCCTGATATCGTTAATACCCCCTGGTGTCGTCAATACCCCCTGATGTCGTTAATACCCCCTGATGTCGTTAATACCCCCTGATGTCGTTAATACCCCCTGATATCGTTAATACCCCCTGATATCGTTAATACCCCCTGATGTCGTTAATACCCCCTGATGTCTTTAATACCCCCTGATGTCGTGCAACAGTTTTTTTTTTTCATTTTGACCTTTTTTAAGGAGTTATGATCTTTTGTTATCATGGCCAAAAAGATTTGGTATGCAAGTATGTTTTGGTATGGCAGGAAGTGCCTTAGTTAGCATCTAGCTTACATTTCTAGTTTATATAGAAGCGGGAGTATTAGTTAGCCTTTGACTTACAGTTGTAGTTATTTTTTAGTTTGCCTATTGCCCATTTATTAATTAAAATATGAAGGAATATGATTTTATATCGTTAACTCTAAAAATATAAAGCAAGGAAAGAAATCCTTGTCTGACTCCCCATACAAACATTTTATTTTAGCACATTTGATTAGGTCAAGGTCATCAACGTTTACAAAAGTTAAATCCATTCACATGAACAACTAACTTGCCAAAAGACAAAACCCAAGAACCTTTGAAATGAAGAAATATATTTAACGGAAAAGTGGAAAATAAACAATATATATATATTTTTTTAATCAAAAGTGTTATATGACAAATTTACTGGTTGTCAATTTTTCTGAAATTCCTGATGTTACAAGATATTATTGGTAGCCAACTTTGAAGCAAGTATGAAAAATAGACTCGTTTTAGAACTATGTAAATAAACGTGTCCAATATGAAAATTTATTATTAGTAATGAAATTTCCCATATTTTTCTGCTTAAATGTTCAATAAAAAGAACAATTCTTTCTTGAAATAATGTTATCTTCGGTATCAAAACAACAGTTGGAATATGTTGTACACGATGATGATATAATTTTATAGTAATTGTGTCAATTAAATGCTCTAGGAGAAATTGTAATACCTCACCTTTAACACTCACACAGGTGCAAGTCAACGAGGTTCCATTTATTATAAAATGAAATCTGTAACTAACTGTTCCTGATTTTAGTCTCCTATACCCGCAACCTATTTGGATTTATCTTGTTTTGGAATTCCAAGCAGGGGCCAATGCTAATGTTAAATCTGCATTTAACCCTATCAATCCCCGTTACACGCACTCTTATAAAGTTGCTTAATTGACCTCTCTTTCTATAAGGCTATTATACACGTTACCCAAAGTGGTAAAATGTTCTTGTTTATAGTGGTATATTGGAGGAAATTTCTATGAATCATTCAGATACACGTAATAAAGAGTTTACACCGTTCTTGTGATCATTGCAGATTGAAGATGTGGGAACAGTCTTCTGCAGCCATTCCACCTCCAATGTGGCTTCCGAGTACTTTGAGCGTATGTAACAGTTGTTATTTTTCCTATTTTTCAATTATTTTTATTTCCCGGTAATGGAAATGTTTTCGTGATTCAACACTATGGCAAGTATTGTGTACTCCAGTTAATGACGTGTGTACTTGAGTTCACTTTTCTTAACTCCAGTGCACTAGGCTACCAAATTAATTTTGCTCCCAACTGTACATACTATAGCAAAATGGAGCATGTATCCTTAAGTTAAATCTTTTGTAATACTGTCGTTTAATATAACACTCTTTCACTTCAGCAAACCTACGAGAAAAGTACTCAAGTTTTGCTGAACAAAATCTCGCGGATTCTCGCCAGTTGACAGAAGCAGCCCTCTTGACGACCAAACCGCTGATCATTGGAGACCTTAATACTGGTCCCGGTGTGCCAGCCTTCAACGTCACTGCCGACTTCGAGGGTAACTCTTACATATCGGTCGGTCACGTGTGATATGTGGGGCTTTTACAAGTCTATGGTCGTTTTTCTATAGAGAAAATTTAAGCAATGAATGTTTTAGCAAATGTTGTTATGGTCCTATAACACACATTGCTATTGATGGCAAACTTAATAAAGTCCGGCAGGGCTAACTATAACAATATTTGCTAAAATGTTAATTATTTATATTCATATTTTGATAGAGTAGTTACGCTTTATTTTGTTATTTCGAAAAGTTCTTTGAACGAAAAATAAAGTCTTGACAACAATGAAGTTGATGACGTCACAATACAGATTGATGACGGTACAGTAACAAATGCTGTTATAGTCTCACAATAACATATGCCTTCTCAATGCATTGCAATGGAAGGATGCAGAGCAAATGTAAATATTTCCAGTTTTATGATGAAAACGAGGTCCCCACGACTGGGATGAATATTGCTATTTTTCAAAACAGGAAAAGTGTTCATAAAATGAGTGAAATCAATATCTGTTGAAGAAACAAAAATGCCAAAGTGGTATTTTTAAGGGTAAAAATAATTGTTTATTTTCACGATGAAACCGTTTTTAGCTCACCTGGCCCGAAGGGCTAAGTGAGCTTATGGCATACCGCAGCGTCCGTCGTCTGTCGTCCGTCAACTTTTTACTTTTTAATATTCTTCTAAAAAACTACTGGGCCAATTTTGACCAAACTTGACATGGAACATCACTATAGGAAATTGGAATCTGAATTTATGAAATGTATGGGGCTACGCCCCCAAGGGCCTGAGGGGCTGGGCCAAATAGGTAAAAAAAATGGGGTAATCTTTAAAAATCTTCTTCTCTACTCCTTTAAGTAGCAGAGAGAAATGGCACATTTAATTATAATCATCAACTAGCTCTCTTTTGAATTTATGAAATTTATGGCCCTGGGGTCAAGTGGTAGGATGGGGTCAATTTTGTATGTTATGGCTCGTTGTATCTTTGAAACAGTTAAGATCCCCATCCCATAATCATATATAGTATTGCTGGGCATCAAGAGATAAACACAATCATGATGTAAAAATAGGCCCTGGGGTTTCCCCCCTCCCCAAGGGACTTAGCTTCTGTGTTATATCTTTGAAACCGTTGAGATCCCCATCCGATAACCATATATAGCATTGCTGGACATCAAGAGATAAACACAAGCATGATGTAAAAATAGGCTCTGGGATATTTCCCCACCCCTAGGGACTTATTTTCTGTGTTATATCTTTGAAACCTTTGAGATCCCCACCCGATAACCATCTATAGCATTGCTGGACATCAAGAGATAAACACAAGCATGATGTAAAAATAGGCCCTGTGATCTTTCCCCACCCCTAGGGACTTATTTTCTGGGTTATATCTTTGAAACAGTTGAGATCCCCACCCCATAACCATATATAGCATTGCTGGGCATCAAGAGATAAACACAAACATGATGTAGAAATAGGCCCTGGGGTATTTCTTCATCCCTAGGGACTTTGTTTCTAGGTTATATCTATGAAACAGTTGAGATCCCCACCCCATACCCATATATAGCATTTGCTGGGCATCAAGAGATAAACACCAGCATGATGAAAAAATATGCCCTGGGATCTTTTTCCACCCCAAGGGACAATTTTACTTATCGGCAACTAGGCATCTATGTATTCCATTAATATATTAACCGAAATTACCATCGTATCAGATAGGTGACTTTTTACTTCGTAAAGAACGAACTAGGACAGATTTGTTTCACTACAATGATTATGTTCCCCATCCCGTCTTCATACGATCCTGGCTGTTATAAGGACGCTTTAACCCGATCAAAAACAAAAGTTCAACATCATCCAGTTCCAAAACGTATATAAATATGAATGTTCAAAAACATTAGTAAATCCTACCTATATAAAATCATTTTTTTTCTTTGTAGATTCCTACAACCATTTCTTGTCAGAGGGATTCACATCGCCTTACGTCACTATGGTGGGACGCTGTACTTTCTGTATTCAGAATCCTCTAGTTTCAGGCTGGGAAGAAAATAACGTGCTCGATCACGTGTTAGTACGAAATCACACAGTTCTCAGTGCTAAGGTAATGTATTCCTGTGTAATCATGAAATATATTCCGTAACCATGACAATAGTTCGTAACGATGCCATTTAGTATGTAACCATGGTATTGATTTCGTAATAATTACATCAATTCATAACAATACCAAATTATTAAACACCGTGACTTTAGTCCTAATCAATAACATAAGCACGTAACCATGACATTCGTTCGTAACCACGATATAGCCCCAAATTATGACATAGGGATACAACAATGACAGATGTTAGTTTTTTAGTTCTGAATTTTAGCTAAGAACCAGATAATCTCCTTAACATATTGTTGGCAGTATTTTTGGAGAATAGCGGTTAACACAACGTTTGTATAATTTAATGTCCACTTATAAAACTTAAGCTCCTGTATGACTGGCTAATTGCATAATTAACATGTCTTATTTATGAAGCGTAGCATCTTTGTCATTTTATACCTTGTTTCTGTTGTCGTGTACGACTATTTGTAGTTCGTAGTATATTAAATATATATCCCCGCAATATTGTTGTTCTTACATATCTTGTACTGTATTCTTACAAAAGATCTGAAAGAATTTCGACCTTTGAAGAACATATATATTATCAAGAACAGACGTTAATAAATATAGTAGATCCAAGCTCATCAATAGAATAATACATGTGATGTCGTTTTCTCTCTGGTGTGTATCTGCCAGAGTACCGCCATAATTGCCTATTTATTAATTTGACATAAAGGCAGTGACATTTTGTTCTACCAAAGGATACATAAAGTCATTTTAAATTAACTTTCATTTTATTTCAGCGGTTATATGTCGACAATATTCCCGGAAAAGATGTCCCGATGTCGGATCATTATGGAGTTGAGGTGAAGATTGCAAACTAAATACCAGAACGAAGCTGGGTGTCCCGGAGACTTTTGAAATGTCCACAACTTCCTTCCTTATAACCGTACACGAACGTTCCGGAAAGGTGTTTTTTTTTGCAGAAATAATTGTAAAATACTTTAACAAGATAAGTGTGATTTTCAACACCTCGCACTCAAAGGAACTAGACAGATAACAGCTTGTGTGTTGTTGGATTAAGACTTCTGCAGCTAAATGTAAACTGCTTCAAATCAGTGCAGTAGCTGTACACACATTTTTTTTTCATTTTTTTTTTTTATATATATATATTTTTTTTATTCATATACACGAGTGACGTAATACTTAGTTAAAAGCATGGTATACTGGTGGAGGTATTTTAGTTTACGTGGAAAATACTGTAAGTAGAAGACCTGTGCCCGTATTCATGAAACCGTTCTCATGCTCAAGCATGGATTTTGAGCTCAATCCTTATTTCTTTTTTCAGTAATGTTAATTAACAGATCTTATTTTTTAAATGATATGGTAAAAATCAGCTGAAGAGACTTACAACTGAATACTGTTTCAAATATTTAGCTTTGACGTTTTGATAGTTTTGCATGATTTAAGTGAGTTACAAGAAAGCTAGTATGAGCAGAGAATCCGGTTCCATGAATACGGGCCCTCATCTTGAAGTAGGTAATGTTGAAAGTGTATGGACCGAAATACGTTTTAAAAAGACGAAAATGCTGCTGGATGCATTTCAGCGCTTCGTAGATCATTAAAACCGTATAGGTCATTCAAATGAAAGTAATAACAATATTGTCAAAAGCTGTCATGCAGAATATCGGTTTGGCGGTTGTAATCAAATATATCACTCTCCAGTTTATGCGAAGTTAACTTTCACAATTATTACGTTAAATAAAAAATTCCAAATTATAATATACCAGTAAAAAAATGTGATTTTGGTGACTATCGCACCATGCTATCATCAGTAAACCGGAACACCATTATTGACCATAATGTTAATGTATTTCCTAGGTTCTTTGCAGAAAATATTTTAAATACTACGTCTAGAACAAAACCTCATAAAGTAATCGTCGTTAGAGACATTGCCTTCATTGGACGTATAACGATATACGTAAACGTACTCAGACTAGGAAGAGAATTCACTCTAAAGCTAAATTTATACAAAATGTAAACAAATGGGAATATAGAAATATAAATTTACACAAAATGTAAACAAATGGGAATGTACATGTAGAAATATTAGAAATGAACAACTGAATAACTTAGAAACCTGGAATATGTATACTTTCTTTTTCTGTGATGATTATAACTGTTTTATTATTAATATATGTGATTATCGCCCTTTACTTGTAATATAATATGTTATTGTTATTTTTACATATGTTTGTCGCAATAATAGCTCTCAAGAGCTAATGTTCCTTGTTTACCTGTATGCGACGTTAAATAAAGTTTCTTGTATCTTGTATATCTTGTATGAACTTCAGAATAAGAATACGACTCCGCATAATTGGTGGAAAATATAAAATCATTTTACAAAATTTTCTTTTAAATCAAATTCAATACCTATACTTATATATAACGGCAAAGAAAGTTAAGAAGATAAGGATGCTTGTATCCTGAAACACTTCATTATTCAACAGAGACAACTTGATGACGAAATAGCGTACTTCTAAACGTGTATAACTATCACAAATGAAAATGTCTTAGATGTAATAAACATTCTTAACCCGTCGAAGGCATTTGGTCTAGACTTGGCTAAGTTTGGTTATTAACGGAAGGAAAGCAAGAGTTGTGTTCTCAACTATGTAAATTGTTGGATAAAAATATCTACGGGAACGATATATGCCATATCTTTAAAAAGAATTTTCCTAGTAATGTATCTACTAAGTAATGGAAAGGTTTACTTTTAAATGTGGGTATATTTTTCTTTGCGACAGTAAATATTTTACAAAACATTAATCTGATTTTATCAGTGGTGATTGGTGGTGATTGAGCTGTCAATCAATTATTACTAATAATAAATTATATATTCAAGACTATTGACAATGGGAAAGTAGAGCAAGTAATATTTTGTGGCACACAGGGTTAATTCATACATTAAAATTGGCAGGTATAAAATTGTCTTTCAAACAGGCTGAAACGTGTTGTATTGAATAGAGAAACACCAGACTGATTGCTTCATAACATTAATTGCTGACGACACCAAATTGTATCTTGTCATTGATAACCCTATAACATCAGCTTATACTTTAAATATGGATCTCTTAAAAATGCTGGATTGGGCATCTAAATGGGCAGTCATTTTTTAACGCAGTGTCATTTGCCTGCATTGACGATGAATAACAACATTATAAAAACTGTAAATTCTCATAAACATCTTGGTGTCATACTTAACTCCGAGCTTAATTGGATAAATAATGTAGACTCCATTATTTCAAAAGCATTTAAATGACTCGCAGTATTACGCAAACTCATATTTATTCTCGAACGCTATTCCCCAGAATAAATTTATGTCTCTTTTATAAGATCTATATAAGATTACGCAGATATTTTTTGGGACATTATTTGTTATAAAGAGAAAAGAAGATATTCAGTTAGAATCCACTCGAACGAATGGTTACCGTGGCTCCAACACTTGTCTCGTTCTCTTGTATAATGTTGTCAATTAGGAAACTCTCGGTAGCATTCGGTAAAAACTAATTCATTAAAGTAACCTTATGTTTATTAAACTAAATAATCATATTTGCATGTACAATAACATTACTCATTACCTCAAAGCATGCTGACCAACAGAGGGAGAAGGCTTACCTGAGCTATGAGCTTACTATCACATTCCTTACTTATTCTTCTACTTCATGTGTGTTTGTATGATTGTTGTTGTACATATAATGATTGAATAAAATCTTGTTTAAACAGAACTAAATAACCAAATCCGTTTGTATCTTTTTACCTTTCACTTACCTCATTACCTTTACTTCACTGCCTACAATCCGTTCCTATATTGTTTACGAAAAGTAAAGTTTCCCTCATATTCTATAAGGTTTTTTGTTTAATTTGCAACTTTTGACTGTCATTAATTAACATGCAGCTGATCATGTCTTTTATCATCGTCGTGTATGATTAAACAGGTGAGGCACAACCCCGCATATAGGTAACAGTGGCGCATAAGGGTAGCAATTCCTTACCTGCGACGTAAAAACATTATGTATACTATGAGTACTATGGCACAGGTTGGTGTAAGGTAATTGTAAATATTACCTGCTGTTGTTCTTCAGCTTGGCTTTCTTAACGTCAAGCTGTCCTCGTTAAGTTTCTGGGAGGGGTCAGTACTGCAGATAAGGAGGATAAAAAAACTTTTGTACAATGTATGTTGCAAAGGCCACGAAGAAAATTTACGTTGCCTGTAACTCTTACTTCTTTGGGCCTTTGTCGTTTTCACAATCGTTAATGACATACTTCATGACTGGAGGTAAGAGGTCCGTTGGTATTCAGGCCCGGTTCCGCGGCCGGATCCTACTCGTACGTGGTAAATTGGAACAAGGACCACTCTCAGGGGTCATTGACTTGTCCAAAAGGTGCCAATGTTGTTACATTTTTACAACAACAACAACTAGGCCTATTTAATATCGGATGTTATGATTGTTCTTAACAACTCTATCGCTAAAAGCACAAATTTGAAACCAATGACTTATTTAATCTAATTGACGTTTTATAGTATTTAGGGGTGGGGGTGTACGATTTACACCTCTCCTATTTTTTTTACATGGAACACCTCATAACTTACAGAAATACTACATAACGTCTTTTGAAATTAGGTAATCCAGAGAATATATGGCGTGTAGAATCAAACTTCAAAAGCACCGCAAGCGTTATTTCCACGATTATGCATTAACCGCCAGATTCTCCCATCCACCTTCAAAACAGACTGGATCTGTCCCCTGTGAATAAGCTGAAAGTGGACAAGAGTACCTTGGCAGTGTTTACGCCCAAGCTGCAACAGCACTGTGTGCAACGAAAATTTAAATTCAAGAAGTATATGTATCGGATGATTTAAAAGAACGTATACAGATACATAAGCGTTATTATTATGGCCAATTTATGTAACAGCATGTCTCACTGTATTCCATAGATCACATGACGGGAAATACATCATCGTATGTACCTCACACGCTCGAGTTTTCCCGGTCATATTTTCATGATTTGGAGCCTCCCAAATAGCGTGAAAGATTCGAGTTAAGGCAATAAGTATAAAACATATTTCATCATACATTCACGTAAAAAATGTAAAAGTACTTGATCACACATTATCTTCGCGATAAAGTAAAACAATACACATAGTTGTAGGATAACGCGGAAAGGAAATGCCGTTGTATTGCAAGTGATAAAATACATTTCAGAGATCTGGGCCCGTAAACCGTTATCATGTTCAAGCAAGAATTTTGTGTTCAAGCCTTATTTCTTATAAATTATTTTAATTATTTTGTCAATGATTTGGAAAAATATTAAAGAGACTTAAAGATGAATACAGTTGTCAGTGTTTATAATTGACTTTTTGATCGTTCGACATGATTTAAGTGAGTGACAATAAAGCTGGTACGAGCACAGATTCCATGCTTGAGCATGAGAACGGCTTCATGAATACGGGCCCAGTTCATCTCTGAGTAAATAAAGAAAGTGTTTGCCGCACAAAAGAGGGACGGGTCAGATCACATTGACGAGCAGCTAGACCTACCCTGCAGTATGCCAACGAGCAGCTAGACCTATCCCGCAGTATGCCAACGAGCAGATAGACCTATCCCGCAGTATGCCAACGAGCAGATAGACCTATCCCGCAGTATGCCAACGAGCAGTTGCGTAGAATTGCTCCGGATAATGCAACTATACAAAAAACTATAGAAAACTATAACTCAACTAGAATTTTGTTTTTGTGAACAAAAAAATATGTCTCCCCTTATCAGCCAATAGAAAAACTCCGGTATAAAAAATTAACAAAGGGCCATATCGCTTATATAGTGGGGCACGAGACCAGAATTTAGAATTTGACACTCCTACTTACCAAGATACATTAAAACTTTAGCAAGTTTGGACAACGTAGGTGAAACTAGAACACTGACAGGTCAGTAAGGGCCCCGTCTTGTGGCAATATATCCCTCATAATCATATAGCTGAGCTTGACGTTTGACATGTACTATGATGTGAGTCTTGTTTCCTTCCACCTCCATATTTGCTGGGCTAACACAAATGTAAATACCGGTGCAATACTCATTTGTTAGCTTTGATTTGTTTTATTTCACCTTAAATACCTCCCCCATCAAGAGCCAGGGTCAAAGTAAGTGATCCGCTTTGTCTTTGGCCTTTGAACCCAAATGACCTTGACCTTTAACCCAGTGACCCTGATCTTAAATCAGATGACTCATTCTTTAATTCCGACCAACTTTGCTTCATA